AACAGAGTGAATCCATTTTTTATCATTTCGATCGATTTTTAATCATGTCAGCTAGTATCTCTAATCATTTGTCACAATAATCATGTGAACTGTAAAATGATTACGACCAGCTGTTGGTGACTTCATGAATTGATAAATACTTTTAGTCTGGATAGTATTAGCTTTCCCTTAAACGAAGTAATACAACGATCCAATCACCTCAATCCATGAAAACTTATTACTTCACCAAGTGATTTGATAAACTGACCTACTACTCTGTGTTTAATCTAAAACATTAATGAATAGATAGTCACATGTAAATATCTTCTTTCTTAAGTAGATCAGTCGTAGATCGAACAAGTCAGTGATAACTTTTAATAAAGCGAAATTTAATGATGTGATTTCGAATCCCATGAGCTTGAAAAATTTCATTAAGTTTACTTTCATACCTGTTGTGATGAGTATCGAATAGTACGAACTATAAACTCATGGTCTGCTGTTGAATTTTTCCATCCATCGGACTCTTCAAATATCGTTTACATCTAAGTTATGAACAATGGAAGCTAACATGAAAAGTTTTAACATTTATTTTCTTTCCAATTTAAATTATATACACTCAATATCTATTAATCATGACGTCATTTTACATAAAGAGATTCTTATTTTCAATAAATAAAGAAAAATAAAATCGAAACAAACTGATTTGTATTTATGTTTTTTTAACAGACATTGATAATAAACAAATAAAAACATATTAAATGTCATTTGAAAAATTAAAAGTACTTTAGATGTATAAAATCGCCAAAAAACAGTGGATAATAGTACAAAACCGTAATGCATATATATGCATATATATATATATATATATATATATATATATATATATATATATATATGCATATATGCATATATATGATTCAGAAAATGTCACTAACACAGAAATCAAACAAAAATGTCATTGGATTGATTATCTTGCATTCATGTTGTTGGCCAATAAACAGTAACATTTATACTCATATATATATATATATATATATATATATATATATATATATATATGCATAGGAAACTATGAGAAATATGTATGAACAAAAATAAACTTTGTCTATCCAATAAATAAATTGCAAGAGATTCACTTTGTTTATTATCAACTGGGAAACCGGTTACATAGTTGAATCCAAATGTCATTATTATTATTATTACAGTTAGATTTCTCTGTTTATATTTCAAATAAGCTTTGACAATAGAAATTGTTTGTATGATCAAGTATAATCTAACCAATTTGTCTAGTAATTTATCTATTACAAAATTATTAAAAAAATTACATTCATGTCCAGAGTGTGTTTGAATTGGTATTTTTGAAAAAAAAAGAGTATATTAGTTCAAACTCTAAGTGAAGACGATCAGTTAGAGAAAATATTTTGCTCAAATTAAATTTCATCATTTTAGAAAATGGATTGATGTATAGATTTGTAATAAATCAACAACATGACCCCTAATCATTATTCTTTGTTTTTTGAAACTTTAGGTTATTATTAGCTACTCGAGATCTAATTTGTTAAGTTAGTTAGTTAGAACAAATACTTCTATTCATTTAACTGATGCTCAAGTGAATCAAAAATCTTTTGATAGAATTGAGGATGTTTAACTGAAATTCAATAGTTGACATTTTCTTTTAAATATAATTTATTAGTTACTGTTTTACTTTGGATACAAACTACTTTACAATCCACAAATGTAACTAAGATAAAATTAAAGGGTATAGATGATAAACTTTGTTGTACTTAGATTCAATGTGCCCACTAGTGACTTGCTTCTTTAGGAGATTTTCACGGTTCCAATGAGATGTAACTAGTGGAGTTCAACCCTTTCGAGTGTACACAGCAACTACCAAAGACAATGGTTGCGATTGCACAAGACCATGGATTGACTGAAATTAAACATTAACGCTTCACTAAGTCAGTGGCTAGGCTTTGGCGCTCAAGACCGAAGGTCCTAGGTTCGAATCCCGAGAGTGGCAAGAGTCGTGGATGCTCACTGCTGATGAGTCCCATACCAGGACGAAAAGGCCATCCAATAGTTTCAGGTTTCTTATAGTTGTCTAATTATGATTGATTCGTGATTTCAATGTTTAACGTATAAGTAACAGATTATTAATAATCACTTCGAATAATATTTAACTTATAAAAAGAAATGGTCTTATCAATTTCTACTAATTGATTTCAATTACACTTAAAGGTATTCCTTTCAACTGATGAGACGATAAATCTATTTGTACATTTTTAATTATCAATTTTAACAGATAATGAAATTATTAAAAATGCATGATATATATAGTTAGTTAGTAATGGAATTCAAGAAGCAGTTTGTGCATTATACATGACTTATCAACTAGATATATAGTGTTTGTATCTGAATATTGATTTTTCTTATGAGATTAAAAGTCCATCTCTACTAGTTTTAATTGTTAACACATTATATTCATTGATCTACTGAATTCAAACAATAAAATCATAATTTTTTTTGTCAGTTGCAGAGCAGAACTTCGTACATATATACATAAGTTCAGGTTGCCATACCACATTAACACAGAGACACACAAGTGTCAAATCAAATCCAAGAGTGATAAAGATAGTAGAGTTATTAATGGTAATAGAAGAAGACTAGGGTTTGAAGATATTATTCAAGAAGTATAATAATTCAGTGAGATAAGGTTAGAAAGACAAAGGTAGAGGTGCTAACGAATCCAGAAGTTTAGGATTTGAGAGAACACAAAGTATAAATGCACTTGCGCCATTGCAAACAATTTTGAGCCATGTCGTTCAAGGAAGGATAAAATCATAATACAAAACGTTAAAATATTACTTGTACAAATGGAAATATTTCAGTAAATTGCTAAATAATGTTTTAAAATCAATAACCTGGTGAATAAGAGCAATGGAGAAGATAATACAACAGTTTGATTCCTTTTTCAAAGTTGTACAATTGTCGAGATAGACAGTTTTCAAAATCATTATTGATGGTATTTTGGTTAAAAAAGCAGATTTAATTGTGGCTTACCGCTTTTCGTTTAAGTTACCTACTTCCTGACTCAAACAGTTTGTTTATGTCCATACACATTAGTTAGTTTATTGTGGCTTCAATAGTCTTTACGATTCCTACTTTTATAATTCCTTATGACTAACAACTATTCAATGTCTGTGATAATATCATATGTTTAATGCGATATGGAATTATCAACCAACAGTATCTCAACAAGTTTCTCTTACAAACGGAATCATGAATACATTGGAATTTAAATAAAATGTTTTTGAAACTAATGAAAATCTATACAACAATTTGTTAACTGGCAACACGTTTAGAAATACAAGTATTTGATGAGTTTAGCATTGGCAACCTGTTCATCGCATAGTCTATTCGCTGGACAGTGGTTTGTAGAGCTTTCATACATTTGTTTGTGCACATGGGTTCCAATGTATCGGGGTCTTGTTCTAATAGAACACATACAATGAAGAAGACATGAACAGAGTAGGTGATTAGCATCTGATAAGATTACACTTGACAGGAGTTTCCAAGATTCTACATGGTCATCTACAACCAGAAGTCTTATTGTATACCTTGCTAACTAACTTCAGCACTCTCTGCAACATAACAAGATCTTTACTCAAAAGTTCGGTGAAAAATAATAGGAAAAAGTATACAATACTAAATACTACAAAATGTCTGCAAATCATAAAACTAGTTATGAGTTGATATTAGGAACATGCAGTCTCTTTACATAGGATATTATAGAGTACAGCTTGGTGATGATTTAACTGCAAACATGATTGTTCGTTTATGTGTGATGATGTTCTGACCCTAACAATTAGAATCTTTTGCTCTATGTGATAATCATTATTTTTGCTTCAAAAATTTTACTACTAATCTTGTGTCGTTCATTTTTCTTTTTGAAAGTTAATTTGTGCCAAAATATATGATTCATGATGTGTACTTTTGATTATTAAGTGAGAAAAAAATGATGATAAATGGTTGAATAATAAATATTTCTTGATTAGTCTATGTAAATTGTTAATTTGTTCTATTAAATATTAAAATCTAATACCACTATGTCAAAATGAATGATCTAACAGGTGTGTGTGTATGTGTGTGTTTAGTGTCGATCCTCATTTTTTCCAGAACAACATGTCTGTGCAAAAAGTATTTATGTATGTGTACCTGTGTGCGTGTGTGGGAGAGCGTGTATATAGACTTTAATGGAATGTCTGTCCTACTATCATTTAATCCATATTAGAAATTTCGTCTCCCTATTAAATACGAAACGACCTATGTCGTCCCGTAAATATATATATATATATATATATATATATATATATATTCACAGAATACAGATTAAGCATGACAAATGTCGTAAATGAGTAGAATAAATCATTTTGTGTTCACATACACAACAAATATATATAAAAGTATGAAAAAAATGAGTCAACGAACAATATTACACTTAAACATTCATATATAAATAATATATATACTCTTGTGACACTAAATAATACGACAGTTATGATGATAATTTTTAATAAATATCAATTTATCTCATAAAAAAGTATACAGGACAAAATATTTTAAAAGAACAACCATAATGATTGTTAAATTAATATGCTCGCGGCCAAATGACCTTCATTAAACTTTGACACATTTTAACTAGTTATTCAATTGATAAAAATATATCAGTGCATATAAACAAAACGATGAACTATTTAAAATAGGTTAAACACACTGATAATTTCAAAATATTCGTTTCAATCTAGTTCAAATATGTATTGTATGATTGTATTTGACGAGCATAATTAACATTGACGATAAAATACACAAACATATATAAATTATTGATGAATATTGTGAAAATTTAACAAACTCAATTGGCGGAAATACAAATTTATCATTTTTCATATCATGGATACTTGAAGTTGTACTTTTTATTTAATATTACAAATTAAGGAATTCCATTTTTCCGATTTATGAAAAAAATTTTTCGAAATATAAAATGAATAAACAGTAAGTTATTTAGTGGTTCTTATTTTCGTTAAATGTAGAAAAATTTATGTATATGTAGTGTTTCTGAAATTCAATTTTAATGAACAATTCATACTTTGCTTACTATTTACTAGTCATTTACTAATAAGATATATACTATACTTCAATAAAAATGTATATTCTTTTCTAATTCACACAATATCACAATATATTCTGAAAGTAAATACAATTCATAAGGGTCTATTTTATTGTTTTTATAGGTGCTATAAAATTTCGAGATTCAGTCCTAAAATAATTGACGAATAAATTGAATATTGAAACACTGAATAAATTTTGTTCCTGGTTTAATAATGATCGCCAATGTGTGGCATAAATCATTTGCAATGTTGAATCCATCATATTTCAATCTTGTAGAAATTGTAGATAATTTTAAAAGTTATAAATTTATTCATTTTATATAGTATGAAATTTATAATTCATATTATTAATAAATGGTAATTCTAGTATAAATCTGTCATTAATTTCTGTTCAAACACAAGCTGTAAGTTACTGAACCATAATCAGTAGTATTCATTGGAATGATTGTGTTTTCCTTCATTTAGCTTTAGACAATTTGAATAATTAGTTCCTTTTATTAAAATATACAGTTAGTTAAATTTCAACCTTTATAAATATCGATCTACTGTAGTATGTAAATGATTATGTTTTTAATCGAACGAACATTTACAACACATTTAAACTAGTAACAGTAATTAATATTAATGAAACTAGTTTATGATATATCATTTCGAAAATGTTCCAATCATTTTCTTTTCATCTTATTGCTTTTCGATAAAAAAAAGAGAAGTTGGTGTAGTAAATAATCTATGTATTTAAGCTACTTAATTAGGTATATCAGTAGTTAAGACGAAAACTAGATATATTTTTTTTGCAAAACTGTTATTATATAACATTAAAAATGAATTCTCGATCAATTCCTTTACATCAATTCACAATTATAAGAGTGAATGATATTTAATTTTATCCCCAAACTAGTCAATAAGAATACTGATTTTGATGATACTGTATAAACTTGATTATTATTATGACTAAAACAAAAGCTTAGATTAAAAGTTCAGATAAATGCTTATTCAGAAAACACATACTATACCGATTTGTTAGACAATATTAAAATTACTTTTTTTTAAATGATTTAACAAGATAAAATGTATAGATTATAAATGCAAATTGAATTAAAAGTCAGATTAAACATTATCTCATGGATACTTTCATTTTGTAATGAATTTTACATAGATTATTAATAAAAAAAAAACCGAATAAATTCAGAAAATATATTTACTAGATAATTTTATTCAAAAAATGTTACTTTAAAAGTATATTGAAAAAAAAAATTACATTTTAAATATTTAAAATTTTAATTTTTATAAAAAAAAAACAAGCATGAATTACTGATTAAAAAACAGCTGATTGTCAATGTTAGATAATCATGACAAACTTACATACCTACTCTATTCTCAAGTACACTTAACAGTAACCCTTAGAAAAATAGAATAGAATAGTTAGTTATTGTTTCGCGTAACTCTTTATCTTACTAATAAATAATGAAAAAATATATATGCTTGGTCTGGAAATCGATTAAATGACATAATATTTCACTGTTGCTTTGCTCTTCTAAATCATGAACTATGATGATGTAGTCAAAATATGCTAACTAATTTCTAACTTTTGTTACAATTTTTTTTTACTACGTTACACATTCGTACTAGCATTTTTCTAAAAGAAAAACTTAGATATGATTACTTGCATATTTCGTAAATCAAATTCAAACAATTAAAGAGACAAATAATTTTGTTTTGGCAAGGTTAACTTTAAAAGATCAATAGTCAGTCACATGATTTTTATGCTTTGTTTAGTAACTTATTTTTATAATAATAAAAATAATAGTGTTCAAATGAACAGGAGTGTTAATCTTTGTTTTAAGGAAGCGAAACATATATATATTTTGAGGCAGGTTTGTGTCTTTACACATTCGAAATCATCAATCAATCATTGTTAGACCACTATTAGATGGCCGTTTCGTCCTGGTATGGGACTCCTCAGCAGTGGTTATCCACGACTACCGCACCTCGCAGGATTCGAACCCGGGACCTTCGATATTGTGCGTGAACCCCTAACCATCGGACCACTGGGCCGGCACCCATCGATGCTTCCACGTTTCTAATGGTGGTCTAACAATGACTGATTGATGATTTCAAATATGTATATTTATGTTTACTCCAAGAAAAGGTATCTGAAAATAGCAAATAAGAACATTTCAATAGCAAGCAATAACATGAAATTCAAATTCGTAACGAAATCACTTGTTCACTTGTTTAAACAATTGATAAGATTGTCATTTAATATTGAAAAATGATCATTTCTATCAACAACAACAAAAAAAAATGACAGAGATAAAGGTCAATCAATTAATAAAATCATACAAGGATAAAGTTTCATGATGTTTCTTTCTTTTCTTTTTTTTTTGCTTCAAATTTAATGATTATTGATTTTAACAATTAAATTGTGTAATTTTGTTATTCTATACGTAGAAATAAAATTATCAATTAACTCTATCTACAAAGGCATTCAATGTATATAAACAAAATGGCAAACTTGACTAAATCAACAACTTATGTATGAATATGAAATAACTCATCTGAATCTACATCAAAACAAGTGATAGTTCGTTAGAGAAAAAAAGGAGAGAGGAAAAACTCAATACATATTTATATTCATCACAAAAAAACAAAACAAACTCTATTAATCATAATCATAAAAAAAACTCAATTTATTTAGACTATTCATGCCAAAGTCTATAATTCCGAATACCTTCATGATACTATTAAACAAGTGAAGAATATGGATGGATATTATTCAAATGAAATTTTTGACTAACTAATTATTTTCGGGCAGAGTTTTGGAGGTTTGTGTTTTTACACATTTGAAATCATCAATTAATCATTGTTAGACCACCATTAGAAACCTGGAAGCACTGGACGGCCGCTTCGTCCTAGTATGGGACTTATCAGCAGTGCACATCCACGACTCCTGCACCTCACAGGATTCGAACTCGGACTGTCGGTATTGTGCACGAACGCCTAACCATCGGACCACTGGGCCCGTATCCAACGGTGTTAGTGTCTAACTTTGATTGATTTACGGATTTTCGCGATACCTCACTCATTTGTCTTTGGTAGTTACTGCATACACCCGACAGAGTTGAACTCCATTAGTCACGTCTTCTCAACTAGAACTCCGAGAATTTCCTCACGAAGCTAGTCGCTAGTGAGCACTGTTACGATATTTTCAGGTAGATTTTTGCAGGTTTTGTGTTTTTACACATTTGAAATCATCAATCAATCATTATTAGACCACCGTTAGAAACCTCGAAGAACTGGATGGCCGTTTCGTCCTGGTATGATTTTTGAAAAAATAATTAATTAAATTATCCAAGAGAATAAGTAGGTTATTGTTTGTTTATATACATAAATTACCAGACAAATTAGAATCATACTCTTACTTACTTACTTACTTATTCTAGTGAAAGAAATATCATTTGGTTCGTATTAGATAGAAGTCATTAGTCTATTTCTTATTATAAGTAAATATTGCTGTCGTCTATAAACTAACACAAAACCCTAGATATAGTGTTCGCTGATGACTGACTACCTTCAACTAACCAATCAACAAGTGAACTTAGTGCTATGAAGATCATTAAGGATATTTATATGAAATAAAAACACCTGATGACAATTATTGTCATAGAGAAATTGATCTACTAGAATTCATGTGACTGTTACTCACTATTCTCTTTTGTTAGGCTCTTATAGTGACACTTATTTCCCTTTATATATATGCTGAGTGTTTGTAGAATATACTTACAAAGCCTTCTGTTTACAGCTTTGGATTCAAGGTAGCCTATCTGGACGCTGGTAATTGTCTCGTTCGCGTTTATCGACTAAGGTGAACCCGTAATAGTTTCAAGCATACCTAGTGAGGAACCTACCAGGTGACGACGGTAGTTTTGGAAACATGGATCCTGCCAAACCTGAATTATTGATTGAGCAGCAGCTGAAACTGATGCGGATTTTAACAGACATGAACATTTCCCCTTCCGCACAGCTCAGCTCATCTAATGTAACCACAGCTACATCGGTCGACCGCATCGCAAATAGCATGGTTGAATTTCATTATGATCCTGATGCCAATTTTATTTTTGATATGTGGTTCCGGCGTTATGAATATTTATTTTTAATTTGATTTCGCCAACCAAGATGATGCTTGGAAGGTTCGGCTGGTACTTCGAATGTTGGGTGCAAGTGAGCTGAACAAGTACTGCAATTTGATCCTGCCTTTGACCCCACGAGATTGTTCATTTTCTGAGACAGTTCAGACATTGAGCCAACACTTTGGCGTATTATTGGTGTATTATTTAGTTTACATAATATTCACAATAAGTCCACAAGAGTTGCCTCTGAAGCAACCTGACTGAATAATTAAGCAGACGTAGACTAATAAATCTCATTGTAAATGCACGAAAATTATTCTCGTCACACTTAGACTTTGGAATTTCGATTATATACTAAAAATTAGACACAAAAGATATATATGTCATACAAGGCATAGAAGAGTAGTATATAGGAAAAACAAAAAAGTTTCACTTCACTACATTTTATTACTGATTATCTTCAAAAAAAAGAGATAACTTTTACATTTCAAAAAAAAATAATAATAAATATTGTAAATTACTATTTTCTAACCTCTCTCTCTCACCTCACATTTGTATTTCTAAAATTAAAACTTGATTCTTTTTCAACTACACACACCAACTGTCATCAAAAATTTCAAATCACAATGGAAGTATTTCTGTCTTTAAAACAAAAAAATAATAAAAATTTACATATAATTTTGTGATACCGAATATATAGAACTAAAATCAAAGATTATTCTTCGTGAATTTTTAGAAAAAAAATCTCATTCCA